GGACAAGGGCTACCCATGTCATTTCCCTGTCATTCTGGGAAGCCTTTGACACAGTCCCCCACAACATCCTTCTCTCCAAAGTGGAGAGAGATGGATTGGATGCGTGGACTGTTTGATGGATAAGAAATTGGGTGAACAGTCCCATGCAGAGGTGGTGATCAATGGCTCAGAGTGCTGAGGGCCATCAGTGCCGAGTGGTGTCCCTCAGGGATCTGGATTGGGCCCAGCGTTCTTTAATGTCTTCACTAATGATCCAGAGGAAGGGATGGAGTGCACCCTGAGCAAATTTGCAGCTGACACCGAGCTGAGGGGTGTGTTTGACACAGCTGATGCCATCCAGAGGGCCCTGGACAAGCTGGAGAAGTGGGCCCATGGCAATCTGCTGATGGTTTACCAAGAGCCAGTGCAAGATGCTGGCCGTGGTTCAGGGCAGCCCCTGTATCAGTGCAGGCTGGGGGATGAAGAGGGGCAGAGCAGCCCTGCCGAGAAGCACTTGGGCTGGAGGAGAGGCCGGACATGAGCCGGCGATGTGCGCTCGCAGCCCAGAAAGCCAATTGTGTCCTGGGCTGTGTCCAAGGCAGCGTGGCCAGCGGGTGGAGGGAGGGCATTCTGCCTCTCTGCTCTGCCCTTGGGAGAGCCCAGCTGGAGTGCTGCCTCCAGCTCTGGGCTCCTCAGCACAGCAAGGACCTCCAGCTGTTGGACTGAGTCCAGAGGAGGCCACCAAGGTTCTTAGGAAGATGGAGCACCTCTGCTAGGAGGAAAGGCTGGGACAATTGCAACACCAGCCTGGAAAAGAGAAGGCTTTGGGGTGACCTAATTGTGGCCTTTTGGGGTGTGAAGGGAGTCTACAAGAAGGATGAAGAGAATGCATTGAAAAGAGCAGGTAGTGAGAGGACAAGGGGGAATGACTTCAAATGGAAAGAGAGTAGGTTTAGATTTGATCCTGGGAAGAAATTGGTTGCTGGGAGGGTGGTGAGGAACTGCAACAGGTTGCCCAGAGAAGCTGTGGAGGCCCCATGGCTGGAAGTGTTCAAGGCCAGGTTGGATGGGGTTGTGAACAAGCTGGTCTGGTGGAAGGTGTCCCTGCCCACAGCAGGAGGCTTGGAAGTGGATGATCTTTAAGGTCCCTGCCAAGCCAAGCCATTCTAGGCTTGGATGCTGTCTGTGCTGTTTCTGTGAGACCGTGGGGGAAAGGCTGGTTCTTCCTGTGTTTCATGGTTTTCTTCACTAATTTGCTGTGCAGGCTGGAAAAGCTTCTGAGGATAGAGAGGAGGAAACTCCGGGTTAATGAAGAGAAAGAAAGTCAGTCCCAGCTGGAAGAAATGAAGAAGAGATATTCTGAAAAGGTCAAGGAAGTTGATGGATTCCAAAGAGAGGTGAGCTGTGCTCTGGGTGGGGCTCTTTGGTTGTGGTGTTCCTTCTTTTGAAAGCTGGGAGATGCTTTCCCTCTTTTTCTTGTCATGCTGATGATTTTTTTTTCCCTTGGCTGCATTTTGGATGTGATGGGCTTTTCTTAATGCTCCTCCTGCTGTTCCAGTGGGAGATGACTCTAAGTAATCTGGAGGTGGTTCTCCTTCTGGGGAAAGATGCAAATGTTGAGGGCAAAGCAGGAGGTGTAAGGGCTGATGGAGGCCAGGCTGTCCTGCAGACGAGGGGCAAGCCAGGATTGGCAGCCAGCCTGGCAGGGTGTGTGAGCTCCCAGGCCAGGGAGCCGTCCCACAGGCCCTGAGCAGGAAGAGCAGAACAGGTGCCCTGACAGTGAGAGGGTCAGCCAAGAGTGCAGATCCCCCGGCTGGGCCTTAGGGATGGGCAGGTCTGCCGTCCTGGCAGGACATCACGTGCATGGGCTGAGAGCAGTGGGGCCCAGCTCAGGCCTGGCTGCAGCTGGAGGGAGGCTGTGACAGCGTCCTCTGGGTGTGACAGAGGAATTGCTGCCCTGGGAGAGAGGGGAGGAACAGCGCTGTCACTGGCAGGGCACCATCAGCCCCTGAGCCCTGTCTCAGGCACGAGCTGAGCAGGAGGCACTTGAGGTTTTGCTTTTCTCCACAGTGTTGTTGCTGCCCAGGGCACAAGGAGGACAGGGGCCTCCCAGGGGAAAATCTGTCCCTTATTGCTCACGGGGAGCTCTTTCAGCCCATCCTGTGGCAGGGAGCCAGAAGGACTGTTCCCAGCAGCGCTTTTGAGGCTGCTCTGCCTGTGCAGCAGTGGCACAGAACCTCTCATCCCTTCTCCTTTCGTCACTCGGATCCGTTGCTGAAGCGGCGTCTGTCAGAGTCACACTTGGGTTTGAAGGCATCCCTGTAGAATGGCTTCCTGCCTTTGCAGTCATTCCTTTGGAGTCCAGAAGCTTGGAGCATTTTTGCATGAGGAACTCCAAAAGGCTGGGAAGCTGAGGAATCCTATGGCAAATGATGGGAAAACTGTTCTTGCTGGAAAAGAAAAGCCTGGTTGCACTTTGTGTCTAGTCCTGAGCCAGCAGATGATGAATAAAGTCTCCATGGGTAGCCCGTTTTGGGGTTTTCCCAGAATTCACTGCTATTACACCACACTCAGTTCCTATTTTTCTTTTTGTCTGCAGGTTGCTGAACTTTCCCAGCAGCTGGACAGGGAACGTGAACAGTGCACGCAGCTGGAGGCCAAAAATCAGGCTTTGCAAGAAGAGCTGTCTACCCTGCGTGGGAAGTGCGAGAACCTGGCGATGGACAAATGCCAGCTGCAAGAAGAGCTGGCAAAACTGCAGCATCATTTGGAGACCAACGTGGTGGACCGCAGCCAACTGGAACAGTGTAAAAGAGAGGTGGAAGAACAAGCTGACCAGGAAATAAGGCAAAAACTCCAGGAAGTCAATGAGTTTTTGCAAGTAAGTGACTTTCTCCCCAGTGTCCACAGGCACTACGGAAACTTCTCTTGTGGCCATGGGTTTTGGTCTTTTTCTTTTGCTCCTGTATTCTGTGGGTT